CCTGATCTTGCTCCCGTGGGCGGGAACCCTGATCTTGCTCCCGTGGGCGGGAACCCTGATCTTGCTCCCGTGGGCGGGAACCCTGATCTTGCTCCTGTGGGCGGGAACCCTGATCTTGCTCCCGTGGGCGGGAACCCTGATCTTGCTCCCTTGGGCGGGAACCCTGATCTTGCTCCCTTTGGCAAGAGACTGGACTTTGCTCAACTTGGCCGGAACCCTGATCTTGCTCCTGTGGGCAGGAACCCTGATCTTGCTCCCTGTGGCAAGAGACTGGATTTTGCTCAGCTTGGCCGGAGCTGTGATCTTGCTCAACTTGACTAGAGCCCTGATCTTGCTGCCCTTGGCCAGAACCCGGATCTTCCTCTCCTTGAAAGGAACCCTGATCTTGCTGCCCTTGGCTGGAGCCCTGATCTATCTGACTCAGAGAAGTGGGAACCAAGGCCACAGGAGGAGCAGATGCTCCCTGAGGATCAACAGGGACATTTTCCTCCACTGAAGCTGGTTCTTCCCTTGAGGTGGTATGGATCAGAGCAGTAGAGGTGGTGGCAGAAGAGGAGGCTGAGGTAGTGGCTTCCTCAGCCCTGGGGATCAGCCCAGGCTGTGAACCTAGTGCCTCTTCTTGGGTGGGAGAGCCCTCTTCAGGTTTGCGATGCTGTTTGTTCCGCTTATAAGGCATCATGACTGGACAGGACAAGGCACAGGAACTTCCTGCCGGAGATTCACAGGCCTGGGGAAGAGAAGGAGCATATGAGTGTCCTTGGTTGAGAATCATCTGTTTGATATGTCTCACAGAGAGTTATTATAAATCTCCTTTTGGATGGTGGTCTCAGGCTACCAGGTCCCTGTCTTACGAGTAGGCTTTTCCGTGGAGAACCTAAAGAAGGATGTGAATTGTGATCTCCTCAGGGTATAGGTGGCTCACAGAGGTAAGGCTCTGGAGGTACCAGTAGGCCATTTGAAGAATTAAACACAATAGTGACTTAAAAGCCTTCTTAAATATGTTAGCACATGTAATTAATCGAAATGTAATTTCTTCTACATTTGTCTATATTTTCAAAGCCAAGTGAGTCCAAGTTGGTACAGATGACAGCAATAAAGGAGGGCAAGAATTTACTTATTTGATTTCTGTGCAAATTTCCAAGGAAATACATGTCAGCAAATACATGTCAATTTGGATTTCTAGAGTTTTATGGTAGGTGGGGCTCTTGGTACACATTCAGGACATATAGTTAACCTTGATTCCTGACTTTCTTGGGCTTTATCTGTTGTGTGATCTCAGAAAAGTGCCTCAGATCAAGACTTTTACATCCTGGCTCCTGGAGATCAAAGACATGGAGGCAGCTTTTGATTAAGCTACACACTACAAGGAAATACTGGATCTTTTACAATGAGTGGACTACACTGTGAGTTTCCTACTGTTCTGGTGTAGATACTTCTGTGTGCTTGCACTGGGCCCACAAGTTTTCACCTGGAATGGACTGATTATAATTCCTGTGTTGGCTTGAGGCAAACTTTCAGAACAAGAGTTGTGAGGTACAAGAAATAGAAATGAGGGGCCCTGATACACATAATCTCCCCGGGGACGATTTACCATGGGTCATGTGGATAGAAGGACTAATACATGACCAGATCTAGACCTTTGTCTTTGATGATATGAGGTCACCTTTCTTAAGCCACACCCTTTTCTGAAAGACAGTAAAAAAATAATGAAGGTGAGGCTAAGCTATCCAGAGCACCCAGGTTTTCCCACAGCTGAGAGAGACGTCATATTGAGGGTGGTGTGTGCTTGAGTGAGGGTTATATATTTCTCTTTCACCTTGAGTCCTGCAGATATCAGGTTCCTTTCTCTGCTGAGGTTATGTTGATGGCTGCTGGCACTCAAAAGGGTTCACTTCCTTGAGACGTGGGAGACAAAAGTTAAGATGTAGTGGGAGGTCCTTCCACAGAGCTAGGGGTCTTAACATTGACTTGCAGCTTCTAGAGTGTCTTCTTTATCACTATCAAGAGGTTCCCGTGTTATACTAAGTCTATTACCCCATGAAGCTGAAGGAAGCTGGTGATAAAAGGATAGGGGCCCTCGTCTTACTAGATGCACGTATAGTCAAGAGCTGAAAACAGGGAATATTTGGGGTATCCTCTATGTGTTTGGGTTCCTCTATCCAACCTCAGACGTCACTGTGACTCCTCAGAAAGCCGCGTAATTCTGTGATATCCACAGTTTCCTGTTGGAAAAGCCAGAAAGGGTGGTGGTGAGGTTGGGGGGAGGCAGTGGGGCAGAGTTTGGGGGGGGTAGAAGGGCATAAGGATGCGGGACTATGGAAGAGGGTAGTAATTAGTTCTGTGGGGACTTTGTATGGAGCTATTACTTCAACAATTCAAAGAATCCCAGGCCTCTCCCTTCCGCGTCCTTCAGAGCCAAACTCTGGTTTCCATGTTGACTGGAAGTTGAAAAGAGCGGGAGAGGGGCGGTGGCGCTGTCGCCACTCAAAGCCCGACAGGGCTGCAGACTTAAAAAAGAAAAATGAACAAAAACTACAGCAACCAAAAAAAGGCAGGGGTCGTTTACTTGGGCCCCCTCTACCTACCCACAGACCTCCTAACGGGTACAATAGCAAGTCTCCTCCGGTCAAGTCTCCTCAGGTCACGCGCTCGGAGCTCCGACCAGTGTGAGGAGGTGGGGGAGGGGCCAAGCCACTTGACGCCCCGTCATGGAAACGGGATAAAAACAAGCGGAGTTCGACATTCACAGGGGACTTGCTATCTACTCATCTATTTCTCTACGTCTCGAACTATCTAGGGAGCTAGGAGACCTACCTCTGTCCATCTGAATCTCTTACCTCAACTCTTCCCGGAGTCCACACCTCTCTGACGCCACAGCAGAGGCGGGGCACCACTCTTCCGCTCTGTCAGGCTTCCCGTTCTTCTGAGGCGGAAGTGCATGAGTGGGGTCAAAGGGGATCTAACATCGAGCCCCTCCCACTTCCTTAATGGCTTAAATGGTTCCTCTCTTGGAAAGCTCCGACCCTGGTCGCTTTCGCAGTCTTCCAGGACAGGCTGCGGCAGCAGTCGTGTGGAGAACCCTTCATTTTATGGTGGCCAATGCAGTTTCTTCGCCAATCGCAGGGAAACTGCTCAAAAATATATTTCTTCCTGAAACTTCATGTTATTGACTTGTTTGAGGGAACTTGCGCTCAAATCCAGGAAGCTGTTCTTGAGTTCTGGTGTTTAAGGCTACACCTCTACCACTTGAGCAACATCCCCTCTCCAACGCTCTTCGAGTCCAAATGGAGATGCGACTCTCACAAACGTTCTTGCTCAGACTGGCTATGAGCCAAAATAATCCTCAAGTTTCACCATCCTAAGTAGGATTACAGAAAGATTGGTGAAGGCTGACACTCTGCTACATGACACATACCTCCACTTCCTTTTTTTTTTCATCTAACTTTTTTGAAACGTGTGCATCTGGGCAATTATTCCACATAACAGGCTCCCACTTTCCTTCCAGGCCTGACTTTGAAGCGTGATCCTAACATCTCAGCCTTCTGAAAACCCAGGATTATGAACATCACCACAAATGATGAGCCTGAATTTTTTTCTTTTTAACTTTGCTAATAGTACCAATTATACTCAGATTTCTTGCTAAAGGAAAACTACTCTTACAAATCTGGAATAAAAGACACAAATCACTATCACTTCATTTATCACTACAAATTATCTACCAATATATTTCCTGTTATTTGCAACTCTATTCATAAGATACAGTAGCATTTATCTTCACTAAACACAGAGTATTGTAGCACAAGTTTCTCATTTTTCTTCTCTAACTAGGTAAAAAAAAATCACTACTGAAATCATAAGAGACTTTAATTTGTAAAAATCTTGCAATCAGTAATAAATATCATATACAAATTCACATTTCAAATTTTTCTGTCTCTGATTCTACAAGACTGTCCAAGGTTTTACTTTGAAATTGTCCATTTTCTCTAAATTTTCCTTTTTTTTAAAATCGATCATGGGGCTTGAACTCCGAGCCTGGGCCCTCTCCCTCAACTCTTCAGCTCAAGGCTACTGCTCTACCACTTGAGCCACAACGCCACTTCTAGTATTCTGATGGTTTATTGCAGACTTTGGTGGGGGGGGGAGGAGGATTGGGGAAGGGGCAGGAGGGAGGGAGGGAAGGGATGGGAAGGGGAAACAAAGGAGGCTACAATACTTGATAAGAAATATACTCATTATCTTGCCCATGTAATTATAACCCCTCTGTACAGTATTTTCACAATAAAAAAAAAGAGTTTCACCTTTGAAACATGATCCTCAGATCTTAGCTTCCTGATTAGCTAAGATTACAGGCGTGAGCCACCACCAACTGACCCATTTTGTCTAAATTTGCAAAACAAAAAAAAATTGCTACAATCCATTTCCAAAGTTAGCACCAAATGGCAGGGCTTGGAGTCATGACTCAAGTGACAGAATTCCTGCCTACCAAACCCTGTATTCAAATCCTAGAACCATAAAAATACTTAAACAAATAAAATAATAGAATAAACTATAAACAAAATGGCTGGATGTTCAGCCTAAATAGTAGAATGAATGGCTACCATGTGTGAGGGCCTATATAAATTCCTACTTAAAAAAAACATAAATTCATCAAAGTTTGAGAATAAAAATTAAATACTAAAAGTCTGTAGTGTCTTTATAAATCAATAATATATTTGCTGAAAAAATTAAGAAACCAATCTCATCTATATTATCTGGAAAGAAAGGAAGGAAAGAAAGAAAGAAAGACAGAAAGAAAGAAAGAAAGAAAGAAAGAAAGAAAGAAAGAAAGAAAGAAAGAAAGAAAGAAAACAGAAAGAAAGAAAATAACTATTAGAGCACAACAGTGCACACATGCACTCTCAGTTACTTGGGAGACTATAATGGGTAAAATCAAAATGTGTCAATCCAGACAAAAAGTATCAAGATCCAACCCCATATCAACAAACAAGTTGATCTTACTTGTATACAGGTTGAAAAATCATGTCCCAAGGGCAGCTTAGGAATTAGTGTGACAAGCTATCTGAAAAGCAAAGGAAAATAAGCAGGCCTTAGAGTCACGGTTCAAGTTATAGTTCCAAAATGCCACAGAAGATTTAGTTTTTATTAAAAAACACTGGAAGAGTATTCAATTCTAGACACACAAACATGATTAATGGTAGAAAAGCCAGATAAGCTTATTAACTACATTTGATCAGTATTATTACACATATTGTATAATAACAAAATCCATAAATATGTTTCACAGAAAGAAATATTCCCTGCTTGTCCTGAAAATATTCTAACCGACTGCACTCACAATTGCAAAAAATACTCCAAGAAAGTTGTACATTTATTTTGCTGCTCCTGGAACTTGAACTCATATCCTGTATGCTCTCCCTGACCTTTTTTGCTCAAGGCTACTGCTCTACTGATTGAGCCACAGATCCACTTCCAACTTTTTGGGGAGGGTAATTTATTGCAGGTAAGAGTTTTACGGACTTTCCCACCTAGGCTGGCTTTGAAACACAGTCTTCTTGAATCGCTAGTCATTTCAGACTAGTGAGTTCCAGATACCTTACATTGTCAAGTAATACAGGTGTCTAATTAAAAAATAAGAAGTTTGATAATTTAGAATTTGAGAATCGTGAATTGAAATAG